GGGAACTTCGGACGCTAGGCACCGCTATATTCTACCAACCTCGTATCCTTATTGTAGAGATCATAGACCCCTGGGTTTTATTTTCGGGGACAGCTAAATAGCAGTCAGTACCCCAGCCAGACAGCCTACCGTCCTTCCCCTAGCTTACCCTAGGCCAGGCAGAACTCAGACTGACAGTCCTACCATCCTTCCCCTAGCTTGCCCCTATCTCGGCTAGGTGGAACTCAGACCTGCTGGGGTAACTAAGTCTATTCCACCCCTCCCCCAGTCAACTGTAGATGCATGTAAGCCCTTAGGCCATATGTATGTGCTCAGGAAGCCATGGATGTAGGCTATTTATGATGTATGTGTATATATATCCAGAAGCCAGTTGTATACCCGAAGGTAGTATGAATCATATATGGGGCCGAAGGCCATATGTCAGCACTACATGTGTGTTGAGAATACCATGTATAACGGGCCAGACTGGACAGACCCCCCCAAAGTCTGTGACCAAGCTCGAACCCGTGACCTGTGAGATGTAACTGGAAGACTCAACCGTATGAGCAACAATCGGAAATAGCACGTGTGTGTGGTATATCAGACTGGGGAGGAGAATCGAACGACCAAGACCAACACCCCAAGCAAGCCCTGCGGAACCCAGAACCAGCATACAACACCCGGGACTTGATCCCCTGACCAATACAGGCAGGGTCTGTAATCATAACCATGTAGTGGTCAGAGGATAGTGTATGTCCAGCCGTGCGTCATTCTAACGCCCTGCCGGTGTCCATGCGCAAGGCTGCAGATTTGAACCCACAACCTCATACCACAATGCGCATTTCCAACCGGTGTTCTAACCACTGAGCTACACAATTGATTGGAGGAAAAGGGTACTTTTTTACTACTTTCTGGCAGTTTCTGCCAATTCTGTGAGAGTGGGCATTCGATGGTGTCAGAAGCACTGGGCTGCTTGTCCGAAAGTACCGTGGTCACCAGATATAGAACACCCAGGTGCTGTTAGTAGCGGCCAAAGGATAGATAAACATAGGGCAATCATCCTCAGGAGTCAGGATCTACCCACTCGCTGGAACACAGCTCGTGTAGTACTCAAATGGGACCAATGGGACCCTGGAGCCGCTTTTGAGCAGGTGAAGCTCGGACAACAGCAGGTCTGCTAGGGGAGGCTGCTCATATCACCTACCCTAGCAGGCCAAGCTTCCTTCTTCCCCCGAATAGAACGCATGGTCGTTATAGCTGTTTTTCAGACTGAAAGATGCGCCAAATACAGCTATGATGACCGTACGTTGTATTCGGGGGAAGAAGGTAGGCTTTCCTTTGCGAACGAAAAAAAGAAAAAAGAAAAGAACGCCCAGTCATTATAGCTGCATTTGGCACAACTTTCAGTCCAGATGCAGCGTTGTATTCGAATGAACAGGGTAGTCTTGATATAGAATGGCAGCACCATCAGCACCCCTAGCATCCACTCACTGTGGCGGTGGGTTTGCTGCGCTAGCGCTAGCGCCCCTATGCCGGCGGACCGGTAGGGCCCGGTCGCCCCGGCTCGACTGATGACTGGGGAGGACAGCTCCCCGGCTTCTGGGCCTGCGCACGTGCCCGATAGGCGCGAGTGGTGTGCTGCCATGTGGTACCTGTTGTCTGGTGACGTGGATGTCCCGAGACACGTGAGCAGGGGTAGCACCAGCCTTGGAATTGACAAGTGGTTCAGAAAAACCGTGTGAGTGGCGCAGTGGATTGGGCGAGAGATGGATTTGGTGGGGGAGCTACAACATCAAGCGGAAGAATGGGTTATCATACTGGAGGAGGGATGCAAGCAGCTGCGGTCGATAGTTGAGGCGCTTACGATGCAGCAGCAGGAGGGGGAGGGTGATCTCTATGGATCAGTGGTTGGATGACAGGACCCAGGAGATGCTTGACATCATGTGGGAGCTGGAGGAGGGGCCGGATCCCCGGCTCAACGACTACATCGACTGGAGGGGGGCGGAGGATAGGTTGGGTGCTTGCAAAGCCCTCTTTACAACGGGACGCAATCTTCGTAATCAGCTGGAGATTCAAAAAGGAACGGGGGAGATGGGCGATAAGGGCGACAGGGACAATTGGGTGGAGGGAGGAGTGGAGGCTGGCGAAGAGAATTGCAGTGACAATACTAACAACAGCAAGTACAACAACGACAACAACAACAACATCAACAACATCGGCATCAAGGAAATTGCTTGTGACAACAACAACAATATCAATGACAATGACGGCGACAACAACAACAACAACAACAACAACAACAATAACAATAACAACAACAACAATAACGGCGACGACAGAGGCAGCGCCGAACACGGCATCAGCGGGGCAGAGAGCGGTGTCTGTGCATCCGAGGCCGTCATTAGCACGATGGGTGAGATGCTGCAAGCGGACGTGGTGGGGATTGGGGCTGACATGGATAAGGGGCTTGCTATCTTCCCCCTCCTCAATGATAAAGACGGTGACAACAACAACAACAACAACAACAACATCATAAACAACAGCAACAACAACAATAAAAACGACGATGGCGGCGGGGGCGACGTCCACGGCAGCAGCATGATGGGATTGACACCACAGGCGGATGCGGTGGGGGTGGGGATGGGGGTTGACGCGGGTTCTGTCCTCCCCCTCTTTAGCCTTGTTATGGAGTTGCTTCCTGTTGTCTGCCAGAGGATAGGAGTAGGATAGTTAGTGATGATTGGTGTTGCCCGGCCCGCAATATCAATCAACACTGGGGTGCTGATCGCCGCGCGAGTTGGTAGGCGGCCTATTTAGGGATTAGGTTGCAGGAGGTCAATCCTTCCCTTGCGCAGGGAAGTAATCAATGCGCCTGGCAGTTTCATAAGATAATGCATAAAGGATGCTGGAGTTGATGTCCAGATTATACATATCTCATTGTGGATAGTGCTTGATGTTTAGGTTTGATTGATAAACACCACATACAAGTTGATACAACACATCATTGTTAGGGTTTCGCGATTAGAATGTTTGATACAGAATACAGAATGCACACATCATAGTTTTGTTACGGTTTCATCTGTACGATAATAGTGAGTGACAATCATACACAAACATATACAAACATACACAAACATATATATACAAACATATACAGACATATACAGACTGATATAGGATGCTTGGAAGGATTATACATTCATCACTGTATAGGGACGCTGGACCCGTTATCCAGCTCATACACATCACATCATTGATGCCTCAGCTTGTGTTGGAGACCCTTTAGACACTGTGGATCAGATGGATAGGGTTTTCCATCATCTGACATATATTGCTTAACGTGCATACATAGGTAGTCAGAGAGATCTACATTTCTGCCTAGGGATGCTGGACCTGATCTCCAGCAGAGACATTCATATCTTTGTACAGGGATGCTGGTCCCGATTTCCAGCAGACACATTCACATCATTGTACAAGGACGCTGGACCCGATTTCCAGCAGGTGTAGCTCCCCACCAATAGATGGAGCCTTCGACGCCGCGACCTAATTACCGGGGGGATGCTCTTATCACCTCGCTAAGTAGGTTTCCCGTATACGAAGTTAAAAAAAA